ATCCTGATCCCTGCCTCTGTCCCTCTTTCTGACACTTCATCTTTATTCCTCATATACATTTCTTCTTCTTCACTAATGTCTTCATCTCCTCCTGGCTTCCTCCTGCTCTGACCCTCCTGGTCTCTTCAGTGTACTGTCTTTTCCTTTTCCTCTTTCTACTCATCCTGATCACTTCTCAGATAGGCCTATGTATTTTTGTTGTTGTTGAATCACTCCAGCTACTCTGTCCTGCAAGAGTCTACTTGTGAAAAGCACTGGTACAAATGCTTGTATAACTTTACACGTTAGGGCCATGTAGCTAATAAGTAGCATATCATAAATATAACATCAGAAAGTATTTATCAGGCGCACACAGGCAGCTGTGTTTAGATCCAGTTTGACGGTAAAGGATGTATCCTGGTTTAATTTATCTGGCCTCATTGCTGTGATGTGTAATATACGTGGATTTAATAGTAGCCTACCGCATAGTTTAGCAAATAAAGTGATCGATCTCCCAGCTCTGCGTAGTATTTTGTAACGTAACGCCCCAAACAGCGATCGTCTGTTTAACGCTATCGATTCAAACGGCAGCGTTTTATTAATATTTTGTTTCAAGCTCTCGTCCTTATTAAAAACAAAACCAGTCGAAGGGGAAATGCTCCCAGGGGAAGCTGATCCACCCTCAGGTGCTGGGACAGCTCGCTCCCTCTGCAGCGGTGTGAGCAGGGCCGTAGCTACGTTTTTAACGGGCCTAAGATGATATTTAAAATGATTCACTTTTAATTAATGAACTGCTTGTTTCGTTGCTTGAGAAGCTTGTGGACATAGTGTAGGTTTGTTTCTACAAGTACAGTTTTAGGGACACAAAAGTTAGGGGGGCAGCTGGGGGGGCAAGGCCCCTTGCCCCACCGTAGATCCGCCCCTGGCGTTAGGTAAGTATGAGAGTAGTTGGAATCAGTGTATGCATTGTGGAAGGTTAGGGTTAGGGAATGCATGGTATTATAAAATGATCCAGAAGTGTGTTAATACGTATTTTATGAATGAGATCCATATCAGTGCACAACACAGAAGCACTTACACACACTCATTCTTTATGCTTTGCCAGCACTTCTTCACTTCATGCCCCCCCCCAGCAGAGCAATGCGATGATGAACAACACCAGTTATTTGCCCTCAATTTACTCCCATCACAAATTAGAGCCCTTGTTATGCAGGAATAATCATCTGCGCTCTCTCCAATGAATGCCACCATTATTATACATATTGCATTCAGGAACAGGGCGGGCATGCTCTCTCATTATCCCCACAGACAAAATGCAGTGTGATTTATGGCCATGACCAAGGCCTTTGATTGCCTCTGCGTCTGCGGTGCCACTATCAGGAAATGAAGCTCACAGCAGAAATCCAATAAGGAGCACACAGTGCGCGCTGAAGTTTTCATCATAATCGTGGCAATTTACGGATTGATATAGCTGTACTGCGCCCTGACATATTCTGTGTTCCCAGTCTCTCTCAGATGAATCAGCATTTATCCTCACATTACCCCCCCACCGCCTACATCTAACCCTCCTTTACCACTATCTGTACCCACGCCTTGTCTGCTGATAAGGATACAAATAATCTCGCCTCCCATTCTGTTTACAACTTCAGAAGATTTAAAAAATATGTTCATTTCCATAATGCAATCCGTTTTCACGCTCATGGCGTTGTGGAATAACAGTCCACAGCTTTTAATGGCAATATTTAAACAATGTTATACCCTGTGGAAAATGTATGAATAGTTGTTCTGATTGTGTTGGTTGTGTTTGGTACTGCAGATACTCCAGCAGCCTGTATGAGGCAGTGTTAATTTCGACAACGAAAGCTATGACGAAAAATGTTCGTCAACGACCTTTTTTACATGACTAAGACGAGACGATGACGAGCTAAAAATAGATTCTTGATAACGAAAACTTTGACGAAATGTATATTTAGTTTTCGTTGACGAGACGAGACGGGACTAAGGTGTTAATGGTGGACTATCGGACATTCAAAATGCAGCATATTTTCCCCCAATTGTCCGTCTTGTCTGTCAAAATGCATCTTACGTTTCTAACTTGCAATATCATTATTTCCGCTCTCTTCACTCCAGAAGAGCGATCTCCCTGTGTCTCTCTGTGTGCGGGGGGCGGGGCCTAACTCTCTCTCTGTGTGCGGGGGGCAGGGCCTAACAGACACGCTGCAGCGGCACACAGAGATCTGCCGGGGACGGAGCGTTCAGAAGTATAGAGACACTCTACAAGGCTCGATGTGGACAAAGCTCGTTTGCCATAAGTGTTTTCGCGTTAGCGCGTTGACACGAGTAGTCTGTCCAAACAGCCGGCCAAAAGGCGGCATATTCAGTCGGAGAAATGCACATTTTTCGACTTCCTTAACTTGTAGCTCTGTTGCCCCAATTACGAGTAACGTTATCACATCAGGTGTGCAGAGGTGGGAGAAGTACTCAGATCTTGTAGTTAAGTAAAAAAATACCATAGTGTAGGAAGAGTTCCTCAAGCCAAAGTATGATCATCAAAATATATTTAAAGTAGCGACAGTAAAAGTAGTCATTGTGCAGATTGGTCCATTTCAGAATAATATATATGATATGTTTTATAATGATTGATCATGAAAGTGTTATCAAAGCTGGTAAAGGTGCAGCTAGTTTGAATGACTTTGTATACTGCAGGGTAGCTTGTGAATTTACTCCAGGTGGAACTAAAGTCTGATTTAACACTTGATTATATTTCACATCATTCATCCACATCTGTGAAGTAACTAAAGGTATTAAATACATGTAGTGGAGGAATAGTACATAATTTACCTCTGAACTGTAGTGGAGTAGAAGTACACAGTAGCAAAACATTTAAATACTCCAGTAAATTACAAGTACCTCAACATTTTACTCAAGTACAGTACAATATTTTAACATAATTATATATATTTCATTTATTTAACATTTAAATAAAGCAATTAATTCGGTTAACAATTTGTTAGTTTTTCCCAAATAACAAAAAGTAAATACAAGAATACCGTTAAAGTACCGGATCGATAAGCAGTATCGATAAGACTAGCAGTACCGTAGAAAACCTTAACGATACCCATCCCTAGATATTACACAAGTAAAGTGTTAAGAGAGTGAAATGTCAAATTCGCGTGACGCGATTTCGCGGTAGCCAATCAGCGGTGAGAAATCACACATTTTAAAAGGTTTTTCCCCTGCCGTCTGTCTGCAGACTTGTCAAAGCATTAATTCATGGTTTTTACCAACCGGTATCAGTATGTAGTTACTTCGGCATCATTTTGAAACGTGTATTACAATTAAATCACGGTCAAATATGTTCATTTTGTTGTAGCTGTAGCCCCCAAGCCAGCGTGACTTGTTTGAATGATGCAAGTAAACACAGCTGACAGCCGCAGTGAAACTCGAGTGTTTAGAGCGATGCGATAAGAGTGAAGCGAATATTCCCATCGCGTCCGGTGTGAACGCACCATAAGTCTTAACGAGCTCTCCCATACACACCCATTATAAAATGTGAAACAGTTTGACATTTTCATAAAACGTAAGCTGTGACTACGTGAGAACCATACTAGCTATCAAAACATATCCAATTAGTCCAATAAAGTCCATAGTCTCGAGAACCGTTTGAACTTGTAATTTTTGTTCTACGTTAAAGTAAGAGGAATCTGTATGGGGTCAAAGTGGGGTGTTTTGAGCTCTGTTCAAATGGATTTCCCATTCATTCCTATGGGGCAAATGATCACAGTTTTCTGCGATTTGCATGAAAACGGCTAGGCGAATCTCGTATAAAAGACATAGCTACCCGATCCCGGTCATTCCGCACGTTTTGATGTGTTTTTTGTGTGTTTCGTGTCAACGCTGCCGGACGAGTAGCATGACAACATTTGTGGCGGAAGAAGGAGAATAAGATGAGATAAGTATGTCGAATACTATACTGTGTGTGGCTTCGCCAGTCACACAGAATTAAAAGTGCATACATTGACTCACAAATGGCTGTTAAATCCACAGTTATTTACAGTATCTCAGTAACCAACAATGTACTGTAGATAATCACAGTAACCAACAATGTACTGTAGATATTCATAGTAACCAACAATGTTCTGTAGATATTCACAGTAACCAACAATGTACTGTAGAAGATCACAGTAACCAAAAAAGAAAGAACCAACTGAAAAACCCCATTTCTAGAATAGCTAATATCTTAAATAAACCAACATCTTTTTCTTAATATACATAATCTTGATGCAGTGTAATTACTACTAGATATTTTATATACTTAGTAGATATATATATTTTAAGACCCTATGTCTTTGCAAACCGGAAGAACTACAACTGTGGTGCTGATTTGTACCAAGCTGCATAGCGTGGCTCTAGGGCATGGGTCGGCAACAGGCGGCCCGCGGGCCATTGTTGGCCCGCCAGCAATAATATTTGGCCCGTCATTTTGAGAATAAAAAATAAAAAAATATTTTGAGATTTTATTTATTTTTTTTATTTTTTTACAACATCGGACCGACAGTCGCACATATACTGTGTAGGCTATAATGTCTGAATAGAGAATCTACCTACACCTGAACAATGCTTATTGTACTTTTATCCATGTTGAGAATGAATGACATACAGCACAGGCACAATCAGGCAGCGGGGTGCACTGACGCTGATAGTGGATCAATAGGTGGACAGCGCGTGGTGCTGAAATAGCCAACATTCGGTGTGTGGTTTGAAAAAAATAACACCAGCTCACTAAATCATTCAAACGCAATGTTTACTTATATGGGAACAGTAACAAAGTTCAGTCAAAACATTGACAACAAAATTGGAGAAGCCACTTGATCATGGAGGGCGAGGAGTGGTGGTGCATATGCTCCTGAAACGACAGAGCATGCTACATTAGGGATAATAATTACAATGAGCCATTAATTCAAAAATATAAAAAATATAATTAGGCTATTAAATACAATTACGACAGGCTTGGTACTCACTTAATGTGAAAACTGACATCTCCCATCGGTCGCTATTTTTTGGATATCTGGTGATATGGACGTCACTTTAATCCGCAGGCAGTTCTCAAGGTTTTTATGCGTCAATCGATTCCTCTCGTGCGTCTTTATCGCATTCATTGAAGAAAAGGACGACTCGCATGTATAGGTGGAAGGGAACATTGTGAGCACATAAAATGTGAGTCTCTTGATCGTGCTATATTCCTCTGAGCTTCCCACCCAAAAGGCACTCACAGACTCCGCACTTCTGAGCGCATCGCTGACCAGGGAGCTTGTTTGAAAATCAATTAGCTCCATTTCTAATGCAGCCTCGTCTAAGGAGGGGATCATTTGTTTCGCCTGGGAGGTGAAGTCTCCACTTGGTCGGACTGTGAGAGGATCGCGTACAAAGGCAATGATGTCTTTTGGGATGGAGTAGTCCTCAAACCTTGACGTGAAGTTGGCCCGTAGCTGCTTGATGAAGTCCACCATAAGCTCTGTCACTTGTCCCAGTGCCTGTGATTTTAGTGTACTGAAATGGAGGAGCCTGCCAGTGGATATGTCTGACTCGAACAACTCCAGCTTCCTCGTGAAGGATTCAAGCTTTTCAACCATGTCCACTATGGTTTTGCCTCTCCCCTGTAGCTGCAGGTTAAGCTGGTTTAGGTGGCCAAATATATCCGCTAAAAATGCTACATTGGACATGAACTTTTCGTCTCCCAGAAGGGCAAGGTGGTCAGCTGCTGCCCTAATCTTGCTCAATCTAAGAAACGCCTTGACCTCATCCAGTAGCGCACAGAAGCGGTCCAACGCTTTCCCTTTGCTCAACCAGCGCACGTCATTGTGAAGCAGCAGGTCATCGTGGGTGGCCTCTTCTGACTCAGCCACAAGTTGTCGGAAAAGCCGATGCTGGGTGCTTGATGTACCCCTGACAAAATTAATGACACGCATCACTTTGTCCATAACTTCCTTTAGCTCACCACTGAGTTTGGCGCAAAGGACACTCTGGTGGATGAGATAGTGCAGTCCATGCATTTGGGGGGCGTGCTCCTTCAACCTGCTTACCAGACCTCTGTGCTTTCCCACCATAGCAGGAGCCCCGTCTGTCACGATTAGGTTAACCCTCTCAAATGACAATGAATGCAGCCTAAACAACTCTTGCAGTTTTGTAAATATAACGTCCCCAGTGGTGTGCCCTTCTAATGGAATAAGAGACAGCAGCTCTTCCCTGAACTCCTTTCCATCAAAATATCTAACATAGACGCACAACTGGGCTACATCTGTACTGTCAGTGCTCTCGTCAATGGCTAAGGAAAAGTAATTGGCTTGACTGAGACCCTTGATGATTACCCCCTGCACAGCGTCCGACAGTGCTTCTATGCGGCGTATAGCGGACCTCGCAGAGAGGGACACTTGTTTCACTGATGCAATGACACCATCCATGGACTTGTCGGTGGCCAGTTCCTCCAAAACAGTCACCATCACCTCCTTGAAAACCTCTGCGTCAGTGAATGGCCGGTTATGCTTTGCGAGCACCCACGACGCCTTTAGGGACGCGGTTGTCACTTTCTGCTGGGCTGTGAGGCCTCGCACCAGGATCCTGCTGCTGTGCGCATAACCTGCTGTCAGTGCTTCAATATTGCGCTTTCGTGCCTCTGTCTTGGGGGGAAAGGCCACTTTGAAGGTGTCATGCTTCGTCTCGTGGTGCCGCTTAATATTATATTCTTTGCAAGCAGCCACAACTTCATTGCAGATAAGACACAACGGCTTTGCATTGATGAAACCAGGTAGGATGAACGCATAGTTCGCTGTCCATTCCTCTTTAAATGCCCTGTTTTCACCGTCAACTTTCCTCTTTAGACCTTTGGAGAGTGACATTACTGCTTTGGATTACTGGTCTGGGGGAAGCTCGCGAGTGTGTGTGTGTGTGTGTATGTGTGTGTGTGTTTGTGTGTATTGTGTTTGTTTCCCGGGGAAAACACACACAAGAAACACCGGCTGTTGTTACGCCTGATGTCACGTTAAGTTACTCCGTTCTCCGTTTGTAATTATGCCGTTACAAGCTTCAAAGTTGTATTTATCATCTGAATTTGCCGAAACAAGTTTTATATTCTGAAAGCCAAGACTTTGTTTATTTGAAATCAGATGAAAACAAACTGTAACGGACCCTGCCGTGTTATCTATGATCACTATACGCTTACATTCATAATTTCAGCGGAGGGAGGGGAAGCGGCGCTTTGGAAGAGCAGAGTGGCGAGTGAGAGCTGTCATCTTCCCTTTACAAGCTTCAAACATGTATTTATCGTGTGATTTTGGAAATAAAATTTTCATATTCTGAAAGCCAAGACTTTCTTTAGTTAAAATCAAACAAAACACCCGAACCCCGAAAAACGAGTTTTTTACGCAAATCCACGTTTATTTTGAAATGAGCCGTTGCGACTTCCGACTGATTTCGATAGAGCGGGTCACATATGGCAAATGTGTGGTTGTGGGGAACCAGGTAAATTAAAGTGTTGATGGGGAGGGTTATCAGCGATATCAGAGTTTTTTCTGAACCAGGGAACAGGGGCGCTGCGCCCTCTTACCAAAATAAATTCCTTGAATTAGGCTTTGATTATGTTCTGGCCCGCCATCTAGTGGCTCAGAAAAAAATTGGCCCACGGCCAAACTTACTTGCCTACCCCTGCTCTAGGGAATTGTAATTTTTAAATATATTAGTGTTTTTCCTAAAATTGGAAGTTATAAATACTGAATTAAGAATACACTGAGGGTTTAAGGGGATGGTAAACACATTATGGCAAATTGTGAAATGGGTGAAAATACATTTTAACCATATTTGACCCAAATTTGACAGTGCCCCCAGTTTTGACTATACTCACATGATAGCTGAGGTCAAGAGCTCTCTATAACAGTATGTCCCATGTCTGTAGTCCCTTTTGTTGCTTAAAGTGGACCTATCATGCTATATTTAAATGATATATTGTAGGGCCATACCTATATAAGGTATATTTATACGTTTCTGTTTTCAAAATACCAAACAGATCATGCATTTTAGCCATGCCTCATTTCGCTCTATTTTTCGCTCTCCAGCCCTGTTTTTGCAGGGGGCTGATACTGTGAGCTGCAGCTGACCACGCCCCCCTGCAGGAGAGGGGAGCGTGCTCTGATCAAGTCAGAAGAGGGGGAGAAAAATAGATCTCCGTCCTCCGTGTTTTATTATAGCCTATTATTATATAGAGTCGTTATTCATTTGTTTTAAAGCTCAATAAATAACAAAGAAGACCTTTGACCGGCACTTCACCTCCATTGTCAGTGGCTGTCCCTTATCTGCGTTAAAATAAGGTAAATTAACTAAACAAATTGTGAACAAAATTAACATTGCTTTTTATTTTAATTAAATACATAATATTTCACATCAAAAGAAACAACAATGTTCTAACAAATCATATTAAATAATGTGATGACAGAACTGTAAACAGAATAGCTGAAACTTTAAATAACTCAGTTACCTCTAATCATTATCCCATGTTTGTATCATTGAGTTAACTCCGTGTGTTGCTGCTAGCATACATAATACCTGACGTGGAAACGTTACTCGTAGATGGGGTTATAGAGCTCCTAGAAAGACAGTCGAACCCGGTGCATTTCTCCGTCTGAATGTGGTGCACTTTTGCTAAATGTTTAGACAAATTGCTCGTGTTACCGCCCTTACATGCTAAACTCTTATTGCACTTTTGGTAACGAGCATTGTCCACCTCGAGACGGGTAAAGTTTAACCACACCTTGGAGCGCGTTCTCTCCGCCATCTCCTGTGTGTGTGTACTGCTGCATGTAGCAGCTGCGTGTGTGTAAACTGCCCCGCCCGCTCGCACACAGACGGGGGAGAGTCTGGATTGGAAAGATCGAAAATACATCATAGACGCATTTTGTAGTCTTATTGCATATTAGAAACGGAGTGGGCGACACTAAGACTGCGATATAATGTTTATGTAGCAATAATACATATGAGATAATGTTTTAAATGTCTCCAGTACCGATAAAAAGACAGATAACGTTGGAGCTTAACTGCGCGAAAACACACGTGATGATGTCTCCAACGAATCGACGACTGAATTAGTTGGCAACTCATTTGGTCATCGATTTTAATCGATTGAGTCGATTAGTTGTTGCACCCCTAGTTATAAGACATTTTTTAAATTTATTTTAAATGTATTTTATTTAAAAAAAAATGTTTTACGATGAAACATACCATTAGCTGCTAGCTAGATGCTAGCTAGAAATGCTAGCTTTGACCTTGTTTAGTTTACCTTTGTCACTCAGCATTGACTTTGAATCCTGGATTATGTCATTCTCTTCCTCAAGCTCTTCTGCATCTTGAAATAAGCTTAGTTACACTTCTTCAACAGTGAAAAGCTTTCTTCTCATGGTTGACCTAGCTTGTTTACATGTCTTGTCAGCCATTTTGACTCAAGTGCTATCCAAAGGCTTTACATTTCTCAGGGCCAAAAGGGCGTAAGTGCACTTGTGTTTGTGCAGGTTGTGTTTGTGCAAGGGTGTAAGTGCACTTACGCCCTTGCACAAACACAACCTGCACAAACACAATAGTTCCCCATGATTACAAATTGTGAAATGCAATGTAAAATTACCCAAAAAATACCAGCTCACTAAATCACAACCGCTCAAACCAACTACCAACTACTACCGTGAATTGGGCAGAGAAGGAGTCAGAGAAAGTTGCTCCCCTATGTGACGTAATATGACGCGTTTGACGTTAAAAAAAAGAAGTTTTTAGTAGCAAAGCTCAAAACGGCTACTTTCCCCTCTGAATTCCTGCCCTTATGTCTCGTAAAACATATGAAATCCTGCATTATATGTGGGGTAGGTAAGTTTGAGAAACCGGCTCGAGATTTCCTGGCCTCAAGCAAGAAACAGGACTTATTTCTGTAAAAGAAACCTAGCCTAACCCTCAGTTTTTTAAGCAGGTTATTTACATGAAATGTAAAAGTGAGACAGTCATCAAGCCAGATACCCAGGTATTTGTAACAGGCAACCACTTCAAGTTGTATTCCATGCGTAGTTACAATATCCAAAGCAGTCTCTGGTGTAGTTTTAGCTTTAGAAAAGAGCATTACCTTGGTTTTATCCAGATTTAAAAGAAGCTTAAGCTCAGAGAGCTGAGTCTGAATAATGTTAAAAACAGCCTGTAATTTAACAACAGCCTCGTTAATCGAGGGACCTGCACAGTACATCACGGTATCATCTGCATAAAAATGTAAGGTTGCTCCTTCGACATTTTCACCTAAACTATTAATATAGATAGAGAATAATAGCGGACCTAAAACTGAACCTTGTGGTCCACCATTAGTGATGTTTAACCATTCAGAAGACAGCCCAGCCAGAAGAAAGTTACTGTGTTTAATTTGACAGTTAAAACACTATTACCGTAAACACATACAGTAGCCTACTTGGAAGTTACTGAGTTTCATTTTACACTGTTACTGTAAATAAAAACGTGTAAATACTGTGATTACCTTTACAGTATTTAACTGGCAGCAATTGACAAGTTACTTACTGTAATTACTTTTACAGTAAGTAACTTGTCAATTGCTGCCAGTTAAATACTGTGAATTTCACGGTACGTTTCTTACAGTGCAGGCTCCAAGTTTAGTAGATTAAACAACTCTTGATTTACTCCAAAGACATTGGGGCTGTGCTTAAAGCCAGATGTTCGTTATTAAGCCTGATTCCTCCCTTGTGAAATCCTCTGCAGGACTCCAGGCGCTTTGAGGGGATTGATGCTGATTTCAAAGAGCTGGCAAACGCTGTGCATCAAACGCCCAATGTAGTGGAGGCCACTAATAAAGTGGGTCTGTTTGGTAAACTGGAGGACATCCAGAGCAGGTGAGAACTCTCTCTCTCTGTTTTTACTTCTAATGAGTGTTATCAGTACAGGCTTCAGACGTCTAACGCACGTGCACACACACACACACACACACACACACACACACACACACACACACACACACACACACACACACACACACACAGAGTCTGTATTTCTCTGTAGGCTGTCTCTATGTGAAAAAGCTCTGTCAGAATACCTGGACACCAAGCGTCTGGCCTTTCCCAGATTTGACTTCATCTCTTCAGCTGATCTGCTGGACATCCTGTCCAATGGGACCAACCCACAGCAGGTGGCTCACCTCTTTTTATTGGATGGGTAACAATGCATGTTATGCTTCAGTCTAAGTTCATTTACACACATTCCACTGAGTGTTGTCGACTGCTGTAGTACTTGCAGTGTCCACACAGGGGCAGTCTCACTCATAGTTTTGCAGCCAGCCACGACCTCAATCATTAGGAAACTGTCTAATGCTTTCCATCATGGAGAGATAAATCACTGTTAAGAACAACTCGCCCCTAAAGAATGCATCAGGCATGCTGCAGAACATGGGTCTTGCCCTTACATAAATGAAAATGCTAATTAAACGTTATTTATTTGCGCAGTGGTAAAAAAAGACGTGAGCTTAGTGTATAGAGCCCAACTAAATGTGCCTGTGTGTTTGCTCAGGTGGAGAAGCATCTGTCGAAGCTGTTTGACAACATGGCTAAGATGCAATTTGATGCAGATGAAGAGGAGAGGCCTGCACAGAGCGCTGTGGGGATGTTCAGCAGAGAGGAGGAGTACGTCCCCTTCAGTCAGCCCTGTGAATGCACCGGACAGGTACAGACAGCCCTATCTCTTATTCATGTCTCTGAAATCATGCTCCATAACTTCTGTGTGATAAGCGGAATGCTGAATTAATTTAATATCTGTATTAGACTTACTGCTGACCATGGCACTATGGCTCTCTGTAGATAGATGATGAATTTCCTTAACCTTTTTTCATGGATGAAAATATCAAATATAGATATCACAGCCCATATTAAGGGAGGGACATGGGATAGAGTCCGTCATTGCCCCTGCAGCTTTGCATATCAAAGCCAAGAAATCCATTACGTTCCCATTACATCCCATAGTATTTTCCTGACTTGACTTCCACTATAATGCTTATTAATGACCTCATTAAGGTGCATCGAAAATAGCCGTGGGTGCTCACGTCACACACATTGCAACTGTTTTGCTGCGCTGTTTGAATGGCTGTCTTTGGTTTGTGTGTGTAGGTGGAGGTGTGGCTGAACCGGGTTCTGGACAGCATGCGCTCCACGGTGAGACACGAGCTGAGCGAGGCAGTGACGTCCTCCGAGGACAGACCCAGAGAGCAGTGGCTCTTTGACTGTCCAGCCCAGGTAGAGAGACAGAATGACTGACAGACAGACAGACGGGCGGACGGACAGACAGACTGACAGACAGATACTTTATTTATCCCGAATTGGGAAATGATGTTGTCACAGCAGCAGTGTTGTCACAGCAGCAGTGTTGTCACAGCAGCAGTGTTGTCATGCATTACACGTGTTAAAAATATACAATATGATTTTTTCACAATATCTTTACTGGTATTTTCTTATATTGGAACAACAAATCAAAAGAACAAACAAACATGTACATACACACACCCTTAACTTGCACTAAGACTAAATAGCATACATATACAAATAAATAAAATTGAAGAATTTCACAAATGTCCTTTCAAAGGCAGTCAACATTCCCATCCCTCTAATGTTCATATACTGTTCCCAGAGCTGTTCGAAGTCCTTCCGCTTGCCTTTAGCGATGTATGTCAGTCTATTCCAGACCAATACTACCCGGAAGGTCCTTTATCAAAATCTTCAGTGATGGAGCATCCACATTTTTCCAACACAGAGCCATAGCCCTCCTGGCTTGAAGAAGTCCAAAAGTGTGGTCCGTTAGAAGTCTGTTTGAAGTCCTTTGGATATATTCCAAAAGATACAATAAGATACAAATATAATAAAAAATGTACATTAGCGGCAAGTATATATAATTAAAAAGAAAACAACATTAGCAGTAAGTATATACAAATTCACAATACAAAGGACGTATATTACTAGAGAATCTAAATAATACACGATATAACGAAAACATTGAATAAATTGAATAATCTAATATACTACAGACACATATTGGCATAGGGTTATTTATACTGCACTATACTACTATAGGTAGAGAGATTTCACTGATTTACTCACTTAATCCAACAGCTGATGGATTAGTAGCATAATCATGTCTCTGTCTCTCACTGACATTACAGTCCAGTGCACACAGTCACTTTCTCACTCACCTTTGCATAGTCACTCAAATATTTTGATCAGTCAGAACGAGTGATAAAGTTACACTTCTCCATAATATGAATTGCTTATCATTTCCGAAAATGTTCTGAAGGGCGAGACCCTGTGCCTGCACTGATTCTGCTCTCTGAATCAGTGCAGGAGCAGCCATTAAACACATCTGATTCAGTACAAAGGTTGATCCGTAAAAAATGCAGTGTCTTTTTTATTGGCTGTAGATGAATGACTGAGTTATGAATCATTGTAAGGACAGTTTCAGCCTGGTTTACTAAAGCAGCAGCTCTGTATGCAGTGTGCTCCTAAGAGGGGATTTGATCACGATGATAGAAAAGGCCAACTCAACATGGAAAAAAAGTGTAACTATTAATACAAATATTGCCATAGCATATTCTTTCTATTAATATTATAATAAACATATATCTAATTATAAATACATTTGAATAATGTAATAACAAAAGGATAGAAAGTAAGACAAAACACAACATAATACACACACAGACAGAGAGCGGACACATTGAGGGAAATGCAGCCAAACACATTTGAACAAAACAAAGAGAGGTTTGGTTCCAGCCTGTTGGGATTTGGACCTTCAACACAGGAATCAGTCATCAGTTGTGTTTGTGGTCCTTCAGTTATTTTGTTGCCCCTGATTCAGGTAGCATTGACCTGCACTCAGATCTGGTGGACGTCTGATGTGGGCATGGCCTTTTCCCGTCTGGAGGAGGGCTATGATAACGCCATGAAGGAGTTCCACAGGAAGCAGGTGTCCCAGCTCAACACCCTCATCTCCATTCTGATTGGGCATCTTACGCTGGGCGATCGGCAGATGGTCATGACGATCTGCACCATCGACGTCCATGCCAGGGACGTGGTGGCCAAGATGATCGCTCACAAGGTAGATACATCTGGCAGACAACATGTCCTGTATGCATCATGCAGGCTGTATTTTCAGACGCTATAACCAGTGAGTAATGCACTTACAATATTCAACGACGCATGTCATTAGCATAATTAGAGTGTGGGAAAGCTCTGATTATTTCTGGCTTTATTTAAAGCTGTGGCGCTCTCTGTTCCTCCCTCTGCCTTTCACTTGCTTTTGAAGGTGGAGAACTCTCAGGCCTTCGTGTGGCTCTCCCAGCTGAGACACCGTTGGGATGAGAAGGACAAACATTGTTTTTCCAACATCTTTGATGCCCAGTTCCTCTACTCTTATGAATACCTGGGCAACACGCCCCGATTAGTCATCACTCCTCTGACAGACAGGGAAGAAGCTTCCTTTCAGACTCAGGAATCTCAACAATATGATTGCTGAACAGCCTGAGAGATGAAGCTGTTTTTAAATGACTGTTAACTCGCTGTTGCTTCATCAAGCTATACATTCTCACGTCATACACAATAGATAACGATAAGGGTAGCCGATTTAGCATCACAATTCACATACAAGGTCAATGTTGCTGGCCTCAGGCCTAGGGGAACCTGGGCGAGAACAAACTCAACCTCTGTATCAGAACACAAAGAGGCAGGGAACGTTAGCTTTGTGTTGCACTCGACTGCAGTGTTATTCTACAAATCATGGAAAAAACTCCACAACAAAAGCACTCAAAACCATGCTCATTCCAGCATCAGGCAACAGCATTTTCAGATATGTAAAAGCGTTAAAAAAACATTCCAAATTTACAGTGAGTAACCATTGAAATTACAACATATATTACTACTAGCTGACTCCACAGTCAAAACATCTATGTTGGCGCCTTTTCAAGATCAATGAAAACACACTACAGAAACATACTTAAACCAAATGAGACATATACTATATGCATGAACACTATATACATCTCACATATACTCAGTCAGTTATTACACAATAAGCAAAAGTATACTGTTTTTTACCTTAAAGGTAGGGTAGGTACGTTTGAGAAACCGGCTCGAGATCGCTAGAATTTGAAAATACACAGCCGAAAAAAATCTGCCACTTCCTTACAGAGCCCCTCCTCCAACACACACGACACATGACCAATGAGGGCACGAGATAAGTTTGTGCACAGATGGAAGGCTGACAGGTAGGTAGGCCATCCAGTTATTTTAGCCGGGCCGGCTCAGATGATTGGTCGTGCTTTTTACAGTACTACAGCTTCCACAGATGACATTTTTGTATGGATTTTTTGTCAAAGCACTTAAGATATTCATTGCTATCGGGATGTTAAGAGCATTCCATGGAATATAACAACAAGTGTATCTCGAGCCGGTTTCTCAAACTTACCTACCCTACCTTTAACATTAGCAACCTGTCGCTAGCTGTTAGCGTGACACTCAGTATTCAATTTACACACATAACTGCAAAAAACACTCGCTCATAAACAATGGACTTCATCACAATATATTCATAACACTATTATCCCTTTAATGAGGTACATTTGTGTTATTTAAAGACTTTTAATCCACCTGTATTATAACACAAAGAGGCAGAAAACGATAGCTTTGTGTTCAGATCGACTGCAGTGTTTACTCATCCTGGTTTTAGCTTCCTCCCGAGTGCTAACGCCTTCTTGTGATCAGTCTGCATATCTAACAACACAGTTACTATGACATTGGCATTTTAATTACTTTTTAAGACTCAACAATAAAAAAGGATGGAGGGTGACATTTTTTAAACCTTTTTAAGTTCACTTATTTGATCAACAAACTGTACTATAATCACATTATGAACTGTACCATATTTAAACTGAATTGTAAGCGATTTTAGCTATAATTATGTTTATTATATACACTCTTTTTAACTCTTTACATTGAGAAACATAAATATAGAAGAAGATATGATACAAATATGACATTAACTTTAAACACAAATCTACAATGCTTCTGAATGAAAAACTGGAGAGCTGTGCTGGAGGGGTACAGGTGATGGAGGAATGGCAGCTTGCAGCCACTCACCTTCTTTACAGAGCGAATTATACCAGATGTTGATGGAGGAGGTGATTGCTGTATAGAAGTTCACCATCATTAACTTGTACAGCTGCTGCAGAAAGAACATCCTCTGCTGGGCCTTTTTGAGGATGGAGCTGATGTTTCAGCTCAGGAAGCGTTAGGACTCCTCAGTATGGACTGGGAACCAGCACTGATGGCCTGAGAGTCAGGGACGTGTTTCCCCATCCTCAGGTTCTGCTTCCTGTCAGACAGGAAGTGTGATCCCCCTGCAGGTGGAGTCAGCTGAGCCGGGATAGTGATGGTGTTAAAGGCGGAGGTGCAGTGCACAAACAGGATCCTGGTGTAGTCACTGCATGAGTCCAGGTGCTGCAGGATGAAGGGGGGGGAGGAGGTGTCATGGTGTACAGGTTGATGGCTCCATCACCACAGAGGTGAGGGGAGGGGTTGAACTACTGTATCTCCAAAACCGCATCTGAGCCGTTCTCACAGTCCACATGTGTCTTTTTTATACAGAAATCTATTGGTCAGCCACTACAGCTCAGAATACTGTTCACTCACTACTCAAAGAGACTGGCTGTAAACTCTGAGAGTGAAACACATTATATTTACAGAATAATCTACATCATGGGACAGTCATCCCAAAACACGTGCAGGCCTATTCCTTTCTTTAATTTCTGTTTGTAGCTAAACACATCCACTTGTTTATCATGGTTCCCTTTCTTAAGATGTGTTCCCTTACATTGAAAATAGAGTCAAAGAGGTACAATCATATTTAGGAGAGAATATCCCTACTACTTTTGTTATTCCAGGACATAACACTGTCACCACAAAGAAATCCAAATAAAACTGTGATATGAGTTTAGTGTCATATCGCCCGCCACAGAAGGCTATGATACCAGATGTATATATGCATTAACGGGGACTGTGTAGAGAGGGTGCCTTCATTTAAATTCCTGGGAGTCCACATCTTCCAGGAGCTCACCTGGTCCACAAACACCACGGCAGTGATAAAGAAGGCCCAGCAGCGACTGTACTTCCTGAGACTGCTCAGAAAGAACCATCTGAACCAGAAGCTGCTGGTGACCTTCTATCGCTCTACAGTTGAGAGCGTCCTCACATACTGCATCTCTACTTGGTATGCAGGGTGCTCGGCTGCCGACAGGAAGGCTCTGCAGAGGGTCATTAACACGGCCCAGAGGATTATTGGCTGCCCTCTGCCCTCCCTGGAAGACATCACCAGCTCTCGCTGCCTCAGGAGGACCAGTTCCATCCTGAAGGACTCATCCCACCCAGCCCGTCATCTGTTCGACCTGCTGCCCTCGGGCCGGCGCTACCGTTCACTGAAAGCCTGCACCTCCAGACTCACAAACAGTTTCTTCCCATGGGCCATTAGGACATTAAACACACAAAAATAACCCCCCATATCCCCACTGTGCAATAATCATGGTCTGTGTCTATGTATACACTGTAATATTTATCATATATATTTTATCATAATTCTATTTTATTCATTTATTTATTTATTTATTAATCCTGCTCATCTACATGACGATCCGAAGCTGTGTGCACTACTTGCTGGTCGTAACTGTCAGACCTTTTAATCTGTGTTTTAATATGTCTGTTTTTAAAGCACTCGCTGGAGCAGTGACTATAAATCTCGTTGTATTCTGTACAATGACAATAAAAGATTTTGAAAAAAAAAAAAAAATGTATAAAACGGACAAGTCAAATCAAGCAATCTGATTGGTTCTTAGCCGTGATATAATGAGCGTATATCACGGGTAGAATTGTAGAAGTCAGTATCCCTCCGCGTCTGAGAAAAACTACAACCGTTACGAAACTAACTAACAAAGCTTAAGATGGAAACATGTAAGGGATAATGTGCAGCAAGGACTTATTGACCGTTTTTAAGGACGCTCACACCTGCAGAAAGAAGTCCGGTCGATTTAACTGTATACAGTTGGGCTGAAAAGCAAACTGCATGCAGTTTGCTTTTCAAACTGGGACAAGAAAACAGCGGAGAAGTAACGGGGCAGAAAACCTCCTTTTTACGCAACGGTCCAGACATAGACATCAAACGGCAAAATATATTCAGTTGCCAGTTACTTTGGGATTAGGGCAGGGATATATAGATACTTCCCAAGGTTTGTGCTACTTTTAAAGCAAGCAACGATGTTTTCAAATCTGTAATCAAAAAGGTCCGCAACAACGCTATAGAAGCAGTTCCTACCGTTGCTACGTAGTTCAAACAGTAACAACGGACTAGTTTTGATCTGCCTGTCGGTGTGGGTGCACAATAAATGGCAACATACAAATGAATGTAAATAAATAGCCAAATAATCGATCAACGCTCTCTGTCTAATATGTTCGCTAGCTGTTAGTAACACTAACAGCTAGCATCGGGCCGAACCACACCCCTTAGCTGTGATATAATGAGCATATACCACGGCCTGTCGTGAGCTATTACTTAAATATATTTTCATTTTTGTTTTATTCTACTTCTAATTTCAAGTCCATACAATCATTGACAAATCATATCAATATTCTCTTTTAGCCCTCTGTAGTTTACAATGAAAGCACTAATCGAAGTATTACATATTTTGTAGGAAATACAGGCAGGACTCACCGACCTTCAAACATGCTATCAAATAAAGGATGAACATGACCGAGGTTATGGGGGTGCACCTCAATGATACTCAAACAAGGGGGGCATAGAACAAATGATAATAAAAAGACACAACAATCCACTTGCTAACAAATGCTGGTCGTACTGGTGTAACATACATTATCCATTTTTCCTATCTTTTCCAGATATTCCATAGCAAAAGTGATTCTATCCATCTGAAGTCATCATAAACAGTGTCAATCCACTCGTCGATGGTAGAGGTCTTAAAGGAGACAAAAAGACACCTTCAAACTGATTTATCTGAGTTTAATACAGCTTAACCTTGTGAAATAATGCAAAGTAGGACAGTGCCTGCAGCGCCTAGTTATCATCGGACAATCTTTGGTGATCAAAGTTTGGTAAACTGGTTAAGAGAACCATTAACTTGTCAAAGGCTGCCAATACCTTCGCTCTTTGAAAAAAAGGTGATAAGGAACTAAATCTAGCATAGCGATTGTTGTTTGGCATTTTTAAATATTCCAGTTCCCTTTAAACCAATTCAAGTAAGTACAGTTTCAAAAATCCATCTGTGAGGGAGAAAATTGTTTTTTTCCTTTAATTGATAAACTGTCTAGGAGAAACAAGCTTCTCCTCTATTAATAAGCATCTGAAGCGCTCTCAGGATCTTTATTTGAATAATTATGTACACCCACCACTAGCGGAACCTTTT